GCTCCTTAATTTTAACGCGGCACTGCGTTGCATCCCGGCTATATTCTCTCTCTCTCATGGCTTTTGAGATCTTCTCGTAGATCTTCGCATTCCGCTTCTTGGAGCGCAGCTCGAAAGCACTGTGGGATAGCTCCTGGAGCTATTAGCGTCGAATTCCATCCACACCTACCCTAATTCAACATGGCCATGTCGAATTTAGCGCTACTCCCCTCGTCGGGGAAGAGTACAGAAATCGAATTAAAGAGACTTCTGTCGAACTAAATAGCTTCATTGTGTGGACGGGTGCAGGGTTAATTCGATTTAACGCTGCTAAATTCGACATAACCTCCTAGTGTAGACCAGGCCTATGAAGGACACATCCAACCTCACATTGTAATAGTTTCTGTAGTTGGGGTGTAATAGTTTAGGGTCAACGTAGTGTTTTGCTTTTTAAAAGCCCTGCTGTCTCCGGGAGCGCAGGTGCAGCTTGATGGCCACCTTCTCAAAGCAAAATGAGACGTGTCTGTGCTGGTCTGTCTGTAGTTCAGTGGTGATGGTGTCAATGTGGTGTTTACAGACAGGGACATAATGAGATTTATCATATGTGATGGTGACAAACTTGTTGTTACTTCCTTGGATGGGGATGCAGATAAAAAGGGTATGGAAAAGTCCCCCACAAACAGTTGTAATTCCCAAATGAAAATGACCAGGATGGAACACATCAGAAATGAGCACACATTGCAGACCTTCTGAGGCTCACAAACCCTTCCCCACATCCAGCTGTGTCACCAGCCACAAAGAAGCTGATGCCTTTCTCTAGAAAAAGTATTCACTGCTAGGCAGCGTGCAGTAAGCATATATTTGCAATGTTTTAATCTGCTTTTAATACTAATGAAAATTTGGTAATTACAGCGTTGTTGCTAACAGCCAGTCAGAGGCTCAGTGCATCAGACAGTGGCAGTGCAAGCTCATACCATAATAAGCTGGGACATGGAGGATATGGATTTGGTGGCTAACGTCACCCACTCTGCCTGGGACTGGGTGAGACTTGCCAGGATGGATCCCAGAGCTCCAACAACAGAGGAAGAACCACAATGACTAGGCACACGGCCAGATTCTGTCACCCTCCCTCACCGGGAGTAGTTCTTGGTCTGTGAATTGTGAAACTGAAATCATTAGGGCTGGAGTTGGGGTACGGCATGATGCGATGTAAGTGTGCCAGAACCTAGCTGGTAAAAACTAGCAGCTCTCCTTCACTAAGTGAAAATCTAACAGTTATCAGGGTACAGCTGCTCCTCCACCTCACAGTGGACATCAGGAGGTTCAACTCCGTTGTAGAAGCCATAAATGGTTCTCCAGTTTTAATGCCTGTAGCTGTAGCCCAGTCACTTCTCATTCACTGGCCATGCTAGTGAAGGCAGGGGGCTGGACTCGATGACCTTTCAGGGTCCCTTCCAATTTTATGAGATAGGTATATCTCCATATATGTATTCTCTTCTCTCTGAATACTTTGAATGAGACAATTCCTGAAAAGGTGCTTGGTATCTGCAGGGACCATGTCACATGCAGCAACATTTTCAGTCTGCACTTTTTGTTCCTGTACCTAGTAGGGTACAGCTGGTTCCGAAAGAGGCCAAGGTGAGGTGAATTGTCAGAAGAAGGGGAAGAGGAGGCATTTTTAATTTTTTGTGCAGGAGGGTGTTTATTTTATCTGGAGCAGTTCACCCATCCCCACCTATCACACCCACATTCTCCTGCTCTCCCATAGTCTGACATGGTTCTCAGTGTGACAGCTAGGTGCCAGTTAAGGCAGATCCTTGGCTTCCAGTCAGCAGCTGGAAAGGACCCAGATGGAGCATCGTCAGCTCTGGGAAATGTGTGGTGTGTTGAAAATTGTATTACAGTTGTAAACTATCATTTTAAATGTTCTTGGTCCTGCCTGCAGGCTAGGGAAGAGTGTGATCTGGACTTTGCACGCCATAAGCAGCCTGCCAGCCTACAGTGAGGTGGGGTGAGTTGTGCCTGTTTTTACATTGCAACCTTCCTGCAATTACATTTAATTCGATTTTATTAAATACTTGTTGTGAATAAAAATATGAACAATATTAAACCACAGCCACATCCATATAATACATTATAATATCAGGCAGAACCTAATAAAAACTCTCTCAGCACTACTCTAAAAGGGCAAATATCAATACCAATGTGATTATATCCCGTGATTGAGAAAAAAACTAAAAAACATTAACCTTTGAGATGGTGATATATTTTTTTTATACAAAAGAGATTAATTCCAGTGTGGCCTCACAATCCGGAAAATTCTACAGTCCAAAAGAGAATGAGGTAGGACTTCTAACACTTCGGATTTACTTTGGTAAAAATGAAGATATGAAAGAACTTTTCCTTATCTACTTTTATAGGTGGCAGTCCCTATGGTTTGTAAACCGTTGAGTATGTGCCTTACATAAATAAAGATTTGATAACTTATTCACCTATGCTTCAAAAACATGAGCTCTCTTGGAAATAGAAAACGAAAAGGCAAATTAAGAATTATGAATTCTAGCCAGATCTTCTTGTTGGATGATATCTGTCACTATCTATTTGAGTATTGATTAAAATGTATTGACAGTAAGTGAATAACAGAGAAACACCATCTAGCTATGATAAATAGGAGGGTCTACTGCTGTGGAAATAGACTGAACAGGTATCTCCTCCGTCCCCTGAAGGCAAAGATGAGGACATCTAGAATCTAGAAGAGTAGAGATCTCAGGCCAAAATGTAAGAAAAGCAATACAAACGCTACTACCAACAGAGAAAAGCACCAAGATTGACTCGTGAAAATGAGGCATGGTAAAATTTAGGAGAGTTAAAAGTATCCTCAAAAAATTTGACCTCCAAATCAAACTTGGATCTCATAGAGTATCTGTAATATTACTTTAGCATTAAAAATTCGTAATACTGGTTCAACTCTCTTCCCACCATAAACAAGGATAAAACAGAGGGCCACATGACCAGAGCTAAGGGCCTTTTGTTTTCAGCCTTTTTGGTAAGAGGACCAGCAGCCTGAATGATGAAACTTTATCCGAAAATATGTTCTTCTGTCTTCCACTCAATTTCTTGAGGGTTCTTTCCAAAAATCATGACCTTGTCTTATTATAAATGTGACCGAGGTCTTGAGAGTTGAAATAAGAGGAAAATTGAGATGACAACCAACAGAGACCCCTGGTGTTGGTGGTAAAACAAGCATGTCAGTGGCATATAATAACACCGGGATAGATCTACTATTAACAGGCATTGAAGAATTTGTTTCCTTTAAAACATCCACCGCATCATTAATATACACATGAATAAGAAGAGGTTCTAGAAGCATCCTTGGTGGTCTCCCCTAGAAAAAGGGGAAATGTTCGACCATTCTCCATTGGCTTTAGTTCTTACTTTACCCGTCTTGCTCTGGTCGAGATCCTCCAAAATATGCAGAAATCTTTGATTGATACCCACACTTCTACATTTCATCCAAAGATTTTCTAGATTATTAGAATCAAATGCCATCCTTAAATCTGTAAATGCAGCATGCCTTGTGTACCATTAAACACAGCATATTGATAAACCACATTGGGTAAAATAAAGCTATTATCAATTCTGGCTCTACCAGCCACCTTCCCGGAGAATATTGCTGTTTTTATTGAAAGTCTCTGTGCGTATAGCAAGAACATAGCAGTAACAAGAGGAGTGAGGTGGCCAACCAGGGTGATGTGCCCACTCCTTGTGCTCCCACTGGGCAGCGAAACATCCAGTGCGCTTTGTCCTGTCTCTGTGGAGAAAGAGGCTAGTAAGGAAACCAGGACCCTCCATCCCCAGAGGGATAGTCGAAATAGAGGTCAATCACTGGGGATGAGAGGGACAACTCATTCCCCGGTCACAGCTCCTCATTGCCCTGTTGATGTCCCTCTCATCATGGATTCCCATTCTTGATCCTTTCTTCTCAACTTTATGTATTTGGTGCCTCCAATTGGCTTTTAATGGGCAGGGGGGAGAGGAAAGAGATGACTGGGCGGGAGATTCCAAAGAGGTCTGTGACAGGTTGTGGGCAGTTGTATTTTGTAGGCTATGGCCGCTGGTTAGAATGAATCCCCCAGGGAACACTGAGATGAGAAATGCCTCTATAGAATCCACTTAGAAATTTTCTAAACTTTTTCCTGGCTGCTGGTTAAGCACAATCACTTCTTTGTCTCTCCCTCCTGAGAGAAAGAGACAAATCCTGAGAGGGGATTAGCATCTGCAAATGTCACTGGCTTCCATATGTTTGATGCATAAAGATTTTATGTCTCTACTTTAAACACTTATCAGTTATTGTTCAGGCTGATGCTTGTTACAGAGGGGAAAGAAAGGGAAAACTCATGGATTTTTCCCATCACTAATTGTAAAATTCCTCAGTTTAGACATACAGGGAAAACAAACAAACAAAAACCCCATACCTTCCTGGCAGAAAGTATTTACAATTTTATTCACTTTATTTCTCATTTTGAAAGGGAATTTTACCATTTTGTAATGGGTCTTGATAGATGAAATTAGAAAAATTCCCTAAATACAAGTAAAATATTGATAAATAATGTACAAAACAAACGCACCAATGCACACACCATACTGCCAATGCTTCCCAGGTCCAGCTGTGTTCTGCAGTTCCTCTCTGCATTAGGGCCCTCATTTAAATTTAAGAGGACCTTTTCCATTGACTCCAAAGGCTTTTAACCAGGCATTTGGTGTTGGCTAGGTGTAAATATTCATATTGTAACTCCTTAACACAAGGAATTATTAATTGTATTTCCCTGAAATGGTACAGGAATTTTTATTGTGCTATGCAAATAATAATCATTATTATTAACAGATTGCAGCACAAACTTAATTAATGGGTCATTCTTCAAAACAAGATTTCAACAGATCCACATTTCACAATCCCTGGCAGCCCATAAATAGAGACTCTCCATCTCCTGTGTACCTTGGAGTCTCTTCTCTCTGTCAACGCTGAGTTCCCAGCTCAACTTCAGCCATGAAGATTCTGTACCTTCTCTTTGCTGTCTTTTTCCTGCTGCTGCAAAGCTCTCCAGGTAAGATCTTAATGAAATGAAGGGAGAATATAGAAGGATATTTGTAAGTCTGTAGTAAGATTTCTAAAAAGAGTTGTGTGGTTTTCAGCAGATACTTGACATTTAAGTGGAGAATAGTCCTGGGGTGAGAAAGGTGCCTTTAATGTTCCAATTAAGATCCAGTCAGATTTGGCTGAAATATGACCTGTAATAATATTACCAATGTTCTACCTAGTGGAGTCCTGCAGGGATTGGTTCTTGCCACCACACTAGTTAAACTTTTTATAAAGGACATAAAACATAAAATCATCACCTATAAAGTTGGCAGGTGACAAAAATTAAGGGACAGGTCACTCTTTCAGAGTGATTTGGATCACTTGGTAAGTTGGGAACAAGTAAAGAATCATACAGCTAAATCAAAATGTATGTATCTAGGAACAAAGAAGGATGGCCACAGTTATAGGATGAGGGACTCCATCTTGGGAAGGAGTGACTCTGAAAAAAGTTTTGGGGGTTGTGGATGGAGAATCAGCTGAAAATTGCTAAAAGTCTTAATAACTTTGATGCAGACAGAGGGAAATCTTGAGTAGGAGTAGAGAGATTATTTTACCTCTGTATTTCGCACCTCCTGGTAGCAGTACTGTTCAAAATATTCACAAGTGATCAGGAAAAAAGGGTAAACAATGAGGGGGCAAATTTTGTAGGTGATACAAAATTACTCAAAGATAGTGAAGTCCAAAGTAGAGTGCAAAGAGTTACAAAGGAATCTCATAAATCTGGGTGACTGGGCAACAAAATGGCAGATGAAATTCAATGTTGAAAATGCAAAGTAATGCACTTTGGAAAACATAATCCCAACAATACATATAAAAAGATGGGGTCTACATTAGTTATTACCACTCAAAAAAGTGACCTTGGGGTCATTGAGGAGAGTTCTCTAACAACATCTGCTCAATGCACAGCGGCATTAACAGAAACAACTAACAGAATGTTAGGAACCATTAGGAAAGGGGTAGATAATAAGACACAAAATATCATGATGGCTCTTTATAAATCCATGGTACTCCCAGATCTTGAATACTGTGTGCCGATCTGGTCGCCCCATCTCAAAAAAGGTATATTAGTATTGGAAAAGTTACAGAGAATTGCAACTAAAATGATTAGGGGTATGGAACAGCTTCCATATGAGGGGAGATTAAAAAGACTGGACATTTTTAGATTGTGTCCTCTTCCTCTGGCCTAACCCAATGAAAATACCCTTTGTTCTAGGGGATTCAAGTGTTTGGATTGAAGTGTTTGGGAACCTTCACTTGAGATAACAGGCTCTGTGCATCTCCTTTTCCTCTGATGAAATGACAGACTTTCTATGAGCTTGTATTGCCCAGGAGGGTACTGATCAGTACAAGATGCACATTTCTGGGGGACGAGGCTGGCACTGGGAATTGGCTGGTGTTCCTCTGCAGGATAATTCAGGAGTGTCTTGATGGAAGTTTTCCACTAATTCAGCTGGGAGTGACTTTCCATGCTAGGGGCTGTGCATGAGCAGGACCAGAAGTGGTTGCTTTCACAGTGGAGCAGTGTAGGAGGCACTACAGGTTGGAGACCTGAGGGAATACGGCTGTTCAGTGGTCCAGATTGTACCCTGGGGAATGTCACAGTGGATACTTTAAGGAAAGCACAGCTAAAATCTAGTTTAAAACCGTCTAATATTAATATCCTAAAGGACATTTGGGCTACATTCTCATCAGGACCAACCTGTCTGGAATGTCTAAGCTTGGCAATTTGTCATTGAGTCAGTATTGCCAAGTGCTGAGTCTTCACAAGAATGTCTGTGCCGAGTCTCACTGACAATCAGGCGTTCTGACTGCAGGGACTGGTTTAAACCCTTCTCTTTCTAAAAGTACCAGCCACCCAACCCAGTGCTGAGCTGGTGTAACTCTGCTCAGCCAATCAGCATTTAGCTACTGCCTAGTACATCAGTGTTTGGAATCAGAAAGAGTTAAAACTACGGCAGCAAAACCACTGCCCCACTCTTAGAAGTTGGTGATGCAGACAGCTGCTGCTTTCCATCCTGTACAGGTGTGGGGCTGGGAAGGACTCCCATGCTCAGTGCTACAATTCGGAAGCCTGCAGCCAGGAAGCCAGCAGATCTCCTGAATTAACTCACTCTGCTCATTTCTTAGGAGCAGCCCTTGACTGGGCACAGGCACAGGAAGATAATTGGGTTGACTTGGCCTTGTCCCAGTGAATTGGAAATTCAGCTAATGGGAAATGCCCGTCATGCTGCAG